CGTTTCAACTGTAGCTGCCAATGCCTACGATCGAAGCTGACACTTAGCAGTTAGGTTTATGTCTGTCAAGCCCTCAAGTCGTACAGTGTCAACCGCGTCGTTTAGACGTCGATTGGTTTGGCAGTTGGCTATGTCTGCTTCCCACCTGGACCCGAAATCGTGAACGTGAGTGCTGGGAAAAAATGCTAGACCGTTTATATCAAGCCCTAGGGCTTCTCATGTGTTTCGTTTTGCTGTACATGTTTCTAACTATCAGCATCATCTGAAACCATCAGCTCGGAATGGGTCATTCTGAGCCCCAAGTCTCCCTGCAACGAACAGGTTGAGAGACTTGAATCGGGCTGGCGGAATCTTTGTGATTCAATGCCCCGACGGGCTGCTCATCAGAGTTCAGCGTTCTTTTGCAGGCATGCAGCTGGGGAGCTTATAGGCTTTTGAGAGCACTCAATTAGGGTTGCGTGTGAAAGAGGTCTCGAGGTTCATGTGGTGTGGAGCGCGCGGCAGGGGTCAAAACTGGCTTTGCTAAGCAGCAGCTGGATCTTCGGGAGTAAAGAATACTAGTGGTCGCGCTTGCACACGTATTCAGCATGCGAAGAAGCAGTAAGCCAATGCTCGTTTCCGCGATTCGGCGAAAACCCGTGTTCACATGGGTTCTTCGGTGCTGCTGGAATGTGCACCTAATTAGGCCACAACCGTAAAGCCCCAGAACTGCAAACAGTACCTTTGAATGCAACGCTCTCGACCCCAAGTCCCCAAGCCCCTAGGCAGTACAGGCTTAGCGAATGTCCCGTGGGCAACGTGTAGAGTTTTGATGAATTCAGCTGAACATGTCGATGCCTGCACTTCGAGATTTTTCCCTACTGCGTCAGCGTCTCTGGCAGAACCTGGAGCTTAGGTACCGTGAGATGACCAAAGCCGCTGGCAAAGCCTTCGAAGATGTCTTGAGCAAGGTCGCTGGCTGGAGTTGCGGGCTCGGGTTCAGGGTCTGAGGCGCATGGTCTTCGATCTGAGTTCCAGGGTCACTGGTTTGCTTCAGTTGTTTCCCAACAGTCATTGCAGAGTACATCGGTTCTAACGAGCCTTGACATGCGAGGACGGCAGCCTGTCATTGCAAGACTTCAGCATAGCCGGTGACTGGCAGACTGATACGCATCAGAACAGTGACTCGGCAGATTTCAAGTAAATATGGTTGAACATCCGGGGCACGTGGGTCGATTCATCCAAGCCAAAGCTAGCATCATCATTCATTCTGGTTTCCTGCTTTGTATCAACAGTTTTCAGAAAAGTCATCTTGCGAGGGCCAGAAGGGAAGCTTTCGTCCCGTGAGAGCAGAGAAGCAGGTACTTGCTGCTTGGAGCTTGATTTAACAGAAGCTGGTCAAGAACGCATGAAGGAGCTTCATTGTTCGGTAATCGTTTGT